AAAGAATTTTTACAAGAGAGTAAAAATTAAATTTGACTGTAATTTAGTCAATATTTGGTCAAAAATCTTTGTCTAGAACTTGTTTTGACCAGAAAAGTGTACTCTACACTTTTACATAAGAGTGTAAAATATGTTGTAACAATAACTTTTATGTATTAAATGAAATTGTAAATTCTGAAGGCCAAAGGCCATTAGTACGTTTTTCTCAATGAGTTTAAATTCTAAAGACTTGAAACTTTTAAGATAAATATAAAATCTAGTACTGAATAAGTTTACTTAAGAGCCAAAAGCAAGTTAACTTAGTAAAATAAATAGTTATAAACGTTTTTGTACGAATAAATTTTTAGTTAAGATTTGTGTAAAGGATTTGCAGAAAAAGTTCCTCCAAAAATGAAATTTTTATTTGAAAAAATATGTAAATATTTGTGAAATTTTTTAGAATATTTTAATAATCAGTAAATTCTTGAAAATTTTAGAAGTATTAAATTTAAGAAGTAAAAATTTATTTTGCGAAGACAATGTAGAATTATAAAGAAATTTTTCTTTCTATTTATATTTTACATACTTAATCATTTTGAAGTAATTTTAATATTCTTAAATAATCATAAATTAATGTGCATATTTCATTTATTATTAAAATAATTCTATATATTTAAATAAATTTGCATTAATTTAAACTGTTTTAATGTAATCAAAATTTGATTTTTAATATTTTAATTTGTATGCTTTAATTATTTTAAAATACTTTTAATATATTTGTTAATCTTTAATATTTTATTTTCTATTTCATATAATTAAAATTATACCAATTTATTCGAAATATTTCATATTTAATTAAATACTTTTATCATATTCAAAATTTTTGTTTTCTAATAATTTTGAATTGTTTCATTTTTATTTAAATAATAATATAAATTTTAATTAGGTCACTCACACAAATAAAGTTGTTTCTTGTTACCTAGCTGGGTAACTTTTTTTTTAAAACTAAAATTTTATTTTATATTAAATATATATATACCCTAAAATCGTGAAATAACGATTATAGGCGTTCGGCCCGAATTAAGCTTAATTTAGGCTGAAATTTGTAATTTTACATCTGCACAGTACATAACTGATAAAGTGTGTACATACATACGCCGTACCAGGTATGTACATAATGAAAAAAAGCTATGTTAATCCTGACATTGTATTATTTTAAAACTAACACTACTAACATGGATAACAGAACCATTTCAATAGTTATTACTAAAGAGCATAAAGCTGAAATTATCACACAGATTTATAAGAAAGCTAATAAGCAAGTATCCTATATTGTTATGAATTATTTCGTGTAAGCAGAAATAATTTCTTAAGGATACTTTTTGAAATTTATTTGATAATAAACCAATTTTATTGTTGTTATAAAAGTCAAAAGAATTGATGAATTCTAGGTAATTATAATTCTCTTTCTTGGGTTAAATCGCTTAATAAGTTTGTTTTTTCATTGAAAAATGATAACACTAAAAGCATCATCTATTTGGTGATGATTCTAAGGAATATAAGGTTATGGTTTAAGGTTTAAAGTATAATTTGTTAGGATATAGGAATTGAAGAAGCGAATTGACAAAAAAAAAACTGCATTTTGTATTTATACATTACAATTTATAAAAGCCTTTGCTTATGTGGCCCTTTTTTCATTGTTTTTTTGTTTTTTCTTTAAACTTAATACCTTTGCCCTTTCTTTTTTTAGCTTTAACTATAGTATTACATTCAGAACAATATAGCTGTTGACCAACAGGGATTGGCAAAAGAATTTCAGGATCACTACACTGAAAACAAACATTTGGATAACGGTGGGACAAGAAATATAAAACTTCTATTGGTGTCAAGCAGATAAGCTTTGCATTAACAAATATGTGGCTAAACAGTGTTTCTAAAGATAAATTATTTTGTTATTCCGTAGGTGATTCATCAACAGTCTCATCATAGTCTTTCACATCTTCAATATCATTATCGTCATCTTCATACATACTATTACTTACATCTTGAAGTTCAATCAAGTCATTTTCTGTGTTACAATTGTCATCATTTAAAAATGAAGATGAGTTGACTTTTGCAAGATCTGATATTCCATAAAATGTTGTACCACATGTATAATCTATTGTCTCTATAAAATTTTTAAGAAAAATTTCCTCATCTGGATTTAGGTGGTATTGTGAATAGAGAACCTGTGGTCGATTACACTCGATGCATTTAACCAAAATGCACATATTTGCTGCATATTGTGCCTGGGGACTAAAACCCATACCATTAATACCAAGACTATTGATAGTTATGAAGGTTGATGATAATTTAGATGCATTGGCTTTCTGAAGTGAAGATGGTCGGTATTTTTCAGTAGTATCTTTGCCATATATTTCATAAAATGGCATATAATAGTCTTCATTTGCTTTAGAAATAGAGTCGGAAAAGGGTCGTAACTTTGAAAATGCATCAGGCTTACTCCATGGCAGTTTACAGATCACACAACCAGTTTCAGCTACTTGACACTTTCTGATTTCAAAGAAATAGATTCTTGAATGACAACAATGACTCATGAACTCAAGAATACAGGACTATAAATATTTTTATACATGTTATTTATAAGTGTACAAGCTTTTTTTTTTTTAATACAAAGTTGAAACTGACCTTATTTTCAATATGTTTCTTAGATGTGTCTTCAGATACCAATAAATCATTCACTTCAAGTACTAACTCCCATAAACAGTTCATATCTTGTTTGGCTGCAGATTCAAATACAGAAAAATTTTCCTCCTTAAGTTCCAGTCGTTTAAAAATATCTTGCATAATAGTTTTAGTAGGTTTCAAACTTTTAATTACTCCTCTTTTAAGCTGAGGTGTTTTTTTGGCTTTATTACGAATTTCCTCCATTGTGTTACAGCTCTTCATTAAAATTTCCAATTCTTCATTCATTTCAGTTTTCATAAGGCTAACATACTGCAATCCAAGATTTAAAATAGACATAACTCGCTCGATGGGGTTTTTTCATAAATGTCCCGAAGGTGTTCGAACGGTGACTAAAAAGTCAAGATCAAGGGCCAAGAAAATTGCAATTAATGCAAGTTGTATGTGAAGAAAGTTTACTCGATAGTCTGGCCTACCATCAGTATATAAAAAGAAATAAGGCTTGTCATTGTCAGTACTTTCTAAAATATTATGTAATTCTGTAATATGTCACATTGGACTTGATGGTTCAAATATACAATCTTTTAATCCAACATAAACCTTTCCAGTATAGAATAACTCCTCAATTGTCTTGGGTATATTGCACAACATTGTAACACTTGGGATAATTCCACATTTTGTGAAGTCATGGTCACCTACAGCAAATGTTGTATTGCAATTAACTAGTACTCATTTTCCTCATTCTACAGCTGCAACTGGATGCCCTGGCTCACCAATTTTACAGTGATATTTATCATCTATAAAAACAAGCTGGGTCTTATCTCGAAACATTATAGCTATTTCTTTCAAATATCTGAATAATGCTAATGCGTAATGCAAATCAACATGTTTACAATGAAGTTAACAAACCTGGACTATAAATTTAACAGGTAAAATATCCGTATATTGCAAACTACTTTTATTTGTTGGGGTAGTTGACCAAAATTGTAAGTGGAGCCACTGGGTTGATGGAATTAGTGCTTGTGAATTAATTTTTCTCACTTCTTGTATTATTATATCATGAAGATCATAAACTGAAATAGCCTGTGCAAGGTGCACAATCAGGTCATGTCTTCTTTTATCAATAGCAACTACAGCTTCTTGTGCAGTACCCTTTAAAAAACTCTTGCCTACAGCCCAGAATTCATCATACTTGTCCGGTCTACCTTTATTAAGTTCTCTAAGATTGGTAATTATTTTCGGATCATTTAGCTCAAAAGCTAATTTAACATGCTTATCTACTTCTTTTTGATTTGCTGTCTCTGCAGCTGATGTGTCGTTAGTCAATTCCTTGTATATATGTCTCAGTTTTGCCTTCGGCTGTTTATTTAGTTGAAGCTCACATATATTCAAATATTTTCTATGCATATGGCATATATGATAAGTTGGAAAATTTTTTTTAATTTCTGTTCGAATTCTATAATGTTTATTTGAAATTTCTTCTTCAGGGATGTGGTGACTTAGTGAAGTGGATAAGTTGTCAACCCCCCAAGTGGTAGATTGTGAGTTCAAAACCCACCAACGGCAGAAAAATTTGAATAATCACCTATGTAATACATAGACAGTATTACGGCAACGGCATTCTGTCGATCAGTTGGAATAGGATACCTGTAACTATGGTCGCACCAGCATGACTGGCAGGTCATGGGGCATCT